CTAACCTTAATGTATTCCTAAAGAAAGTAAAGAAAAAATAAAGAAAACAGTTAAAAAACTACCAAAATATCACTTCCAAAAGGCTTACCTTAATATATTTCTAAAAAAAGTAAAAAAAAAATAAAAAAAACAGTTAGAAAACTTACTAAAAACCACTTTCAAAAGGTTTACCTTAATGTATCCTAAAGAAAGTAAAGAAAAAAATAAAGAAAAAAAGGGTTAAAAATCATCTAAAAGTCATCTCTGAAAGACTTACCTTAGTTTTGAAAAAAGAAATTTTCTAAAAAACAAAGAAAAATAAAGAAAAAACAGTTAAAAACCATCTAAAAATTACTTCTGATTTGCTTACCTTAATACCCAAAATAATAATTTTCTAAAAATAAGAATAAAGAAAGAAAAATGACACAAAGGTCACTTCCGATTCGCTTACCTTAATTCCAAAATAAGAATTTTCTAAAAAAATAAGAAAAAAGAAAAGAAAAGGCCAAAAAATCGCCTCACTAGGAAAAAAAAAAGAAGAAATAAAATTTTTAAGAATATTCTGAAAGATTATTAGTTTTATACTATAAACTAAACTAAAATTTCAATTAATCTGAAATTTAGACTATTTATCATAAATGCTACAAATGAATGATTTTGCATCATCCAATTGCAAAATCAACCAAATGATAACAAAATCGTTCAAAAGAAATAATAATTTAATCATTCCTTAAGAACAATAACAACAATGATTCTTTCAGAATAATAATGTATGATTTCGAAAGAATGATAACAAATATCATTCTGAAAGAATGATAAAGTATTGTTCTAATAGAATGATGAAAAAAATCGTTCTTTCAGAATGATGAAGTATCATTCCTTTTAAAACGATTTCTATCGTCTCTTTAGAATGATTGTTTGTTTCTTTTGAGATGATTTCTATCGTCTCTTTTAGAAACAAATGTATCATTCCTTTTGAGACGATTTCTATCGTCTCTTTGGAAACGAATATATCATTCCTTTAGAGATAATTTCTATCGTCTTTTTGAGATGATTGTTCATTCTTTTTGAGACGATTTCTATCGTCTCTTTTAGAAACGAATATATTGTTTCTTTTGAGACAGTTTCTATTGTCTCTTTTGGAATGAATATATCATTCTTTTAAGGATGATTGTTTGTTCCTTTAAGACGATTTTTATCATTTCTTTTAGGAATGAATGTATCGTTCCTTTTGAGACATTTTCTATCATCTTTTTTAAAATGAATGTATCGTTCCTTTAGGAACAATTTCTATTGTCTCTTTAAAACGATTGTTCGTTTCTTTTGAGACAATTTCTATTGTCTCTTTGGGAATAATATTTTGTTCCTTTTGAGACAATTTCTATTGTCTCTTTTGGAATGAATATATCATTCTTTTAAGGATGATTGTTTGTTCCTTTAAGACGATTTTTATCGTTTCTTTCGGGGACAAATGTATCGTTCCTTTTGAAACATTTTCTATCATCTTTTTTAAAATGAATGTATCGTTCCTTTAGGAATGATTTCTATTGTCTCTTTAAAACGATTGTTCGTTTCTTTTGAGACAATTTCTATTGTCTCTTTGAGAATGATATTTTGTTCCTTTTGAGACAATTTTTATTGTCTCTTTTAGGAAGAATGTATCATCTCTTTGGGATGATTACTCTCAGAATGTTTTTATAATTTTCGCAAAAATTGGCTCAACAGATTTCAACCAGTGAGATATAGTCGATTTGTTGCCAAATCTTGAGTCTAACTGAAATTTTGCTAATTATTATAACCGAAAAGTCTTAATCCTAAAATAATGCTAAATTATATGTAGTGTAACAAATTACTATCAATTTTTGTAACTTACGCCGAATTTTTTCTGAATAACATGATCAAATCGGCTAAATGTTTACCAAAAGGTATTAGTGATAAAATAATGCTAAATTATGTGTGATGTAACAAATTAATATCGATTTTTGTAACTTAAGCTGAATTTTTGCCAAATCACATGACTGAATCAGCTGAATGTTTACTGAAAGGTATTAGTGCTGAAAGAAATAATTTTGACTAGTATATTTCAGCATATCGAAAATAAAACTGCCTTAAGTAAAGGAGCCAACTTAGTTATTGCAAAATATGAAAGACTTAAGGTTGGTAACATTAAAAAGGATTTTGTTAACTTTCAAGCCCAGTTATTAAAAGCATGCCCTATTTGCAATATTAGTCACGAAAAAGATCAGTTTTATGGATTTTTTCAAAGTAATAGATACTTCATACTTAAATGTTACTGGCAAAAACAATATAAACCAGATCATAAGGGATTAGCATTTAGGGAAGTATCAGGTATGATCCAGTCGAAAGAAAGACCTAAATAGAGATTGAATGACAAATTAATTAATGTTGTAAAAAATCCACATTTACTTTTTGAATTGTCTGGAAAAAATATCAATGTGAAAGAAATAAAAGAAGCTCCAGAAGCTTATCCAGACTTCTTAAGTTTTGTATATAATACAATTTTATTCATTTACTTGTAGGTATTGGTAAAACAAAAGCCTTAAGAGAAATTCTCAAATCTTTAGCTAGGAATAGAGAAAATTTACCTTGGTTAAGTTGTTTTGAGTAATATATGTAAAAAGATGGCGTTAGTATGTCGATCATTTTTTATAGATAATAAAAAAATTCTGAGAATTAAAGAATTCTACGCATTCAGAAAATTCAAAAAATTTTGAAAATTTACGTATCAATATCGTGAGTTACGTCATATTTAATAGGGGATTAGTTAGGCTCTGATCGCATGATCAATGAATCTTAATGGTTTTTATCACATGATACAGATAGCAAATTTTTTATTAATTCATTCTGTATTTGCTTATTTTCTAATTTCACAATTTTAACCTTAAGCTCAACATTCTCAGCCCTAATTTTATTATTCTCAACCTCAAGTTTAGCAATATATTGTTTCAATGAATCGATCACTCTGAAATCATCTATTTCAGATTGCATGCTTGTGTAATGTAGTATTAGTATGTTAATATTCAAAAATAAAAATATCATGTGATTTTTCCTCACAGCGTGTCAGCGAAATTTGCCAAGAAAAAAACATGTACTATATATTTATGAAATTGACTGCTAGGGTTACTTTATTAGTACAAATAAAAATACATAACAAAAAAATGTTAAGGAATTCTAGTTATCTCGCACAGGTGAAGAAATTGTAGAGCTTTTTTCTACATTCTAATTTGATTTTTTTAAAGATACATTGTACAGTATACTCATATTAATGATCAGAATATTTCTTAATATCAATAATGATTCTACGAATTTTTCTACAATAGATGGATCTGATAGTTGAACCAGAATTTCTGATTCATGAAGATGATAATATTGATGAACCTCACTTATATCCCTTATAAGAATGCTCAAATATAATTTCTTTCCAACTATCTGTACTCTTATAATGCTAAATTCACTTCAAGCTTACAACTTTTACAAGTCTAGTACATCCCATTATTGATCTCACGTTACAACTTCACTTGATTATCTCATTTTTTTTAGCTGTACATAATAACATGAGGATTTGGTAAATAAAAGTTCGTAATTTTTTCCATTGTGTTTATTACAAATATAATATCTGGCTGTCTTCCAGATCACCCATTGCTTTTCTATCTACACTGGCATTACTTTGACGTTCAAAACTGCTAATGAATGTGATTTTTTCTAGAAAAAGATCCTTCAATGTTGCCTGAATGACCAGTACTATCACATTGGTTACATAAGTACCTTCATTTAGAGAATCCACAAAATTCATTCCAAATGCTGAATTATTTCAAGAATCATTTCTAATATTTATAAAAAGACATAAACAGTGATCAGGAAATCACTAGATATTACAAAATATCATAAAAAATACTTATAATGCATCCAAAATTCTCTTAGCAACTATTGCGAGCTCATTCTCTGTTTCCTTTTATGTCCTATTATGTATAAGTTTTCTTGGTAAATCAATTTCATGATTCTCAATAAAATAAGCAACAAATTCATTACATTTTCTTTTTACTGCAAACGAAAGAGATAAAGGTACCATTTGTTTTACTGGTTTCATAAAAGTGTGCTTAAATTGTCCTAACAGATTTTGTATAATTTCTGACTTGTCAGAAATTACCTGACTAGCTAAAGGGCCCTTCTATGATAATTCAATAATATTTACATTATCTATACCAAAGTATAAATACTGGTTAATCGGTGTCGTTATATTTTTCTTGAGTTTAGCCTTCAACTCATTTATATTTTTCTTTATCTCATCTGTGTTAAGAGGTATTTCTTTATTCGTTTTGACTGCTCCTATATTTCGCAAACTGCAAATGCGATTTCAAACTAATATAATAAATGATACGTTAGTTTTAGCAGTACAAGAATTTCATCATTAAAAAACGCATGCACTATCAGTACATATGCAACATTATCATCTTAGTGTGGCTATCACGCTGATGAAACCTTATGTGATACTAAAATAACTACATAATATCCTATGGACCAACCACTTCCTCATGCATCAAGAATTATTCTTGGAGCAGAGCTAATGGAATGATTAAAAATATAGGCGATAGTTTAAACATTCTCCATGCAATTCAAGAAAATAGTTCCTTTAGATGCAGGCTAATAGGATAATTACACTATCATTTCAGCCTTGTTCCTGCAAGTAGATCACATAATATCATCATTTAGTGAAAAAAATATTAATAAAGCTTAACAATTAACCTGAGGAAATATTCAGAGTACAGTCAGAACTCGATATAACGATTCGCAATAAGCCAAAAGATGTTTTTAAGTGACAAACAACACCTTATTAAACGCGTCAAGACAAGCTACCAATCTTCATTGAGTTCTAGATCGTATTTGATGTTTTTAGATTTAATCTCTTCTCTTTCTTCATCTGTGAAGAGTCCCATAATTTGGCAGTCTTCCAAATCGATGATAAATGAGTGCGATAAGTAATTTTCTAGATGTCATTTATGGATCATATAAGAATGAAAGAATTTGCAATGAAATTGTAACTTATTCTTTAAACTGATGCAAACAACCGAACTCATAAATGACATCCTCTACACATCGTCTTGATTTAAGCCTCCATTTCAGTTCTTCATTCATATTCTCGAACATCTCTTGATATTCTGTTCTCAATGCATCCATTAGTTGAGCCCCTGTAGTTTCAGAAATATCTATGTAAGTATCCTCATAGCCATCCTGTTTCTCGAAATCATAACTCTCTTCTTCCTCCTCTTTATATCTCCCTAAAAGAGTAAAAGCATTGTCAGTTAAAAGAAACATCTCTTATAAGTAGTGTAGCTGAAAGAACACAGACTCCAACCTTCTCCATTTGGGTCCTCTCATTATCCATATATTCATCAAATGTAACGTTACAGATCTGTATACACATGTAAAAGATGAGAAGAATTTTTGTTGTAGGCAGTACATTAAAAAAATGATGGGAAATAAATTGCCTTATCTTCCAGTGTATATGGCCGTTCAGGTTCTATCACTTTTGTTTATTGAACGAAACTTTTGGCTGTCTATAATATTTGATGATATTTAAAAGAATGCAAGAAAATTTTTTGTCTACATTATTAAGCACTTCACCTTTGTAATTTTCAGAGCTACATTTATGACTTCCTAAAATGAATTCATATCTTTTGCTTCCAATTGTATTAGCGTGCATGTTCAACTCCTTGCCTCGGTCGAGAACGTAATTTAGCTAACAGAAGATTATTAATCATAAATTCCAATAAATAGTATATCAAACAGACAACAGTTAAAAAAAAACTTATGTCTTCAGATTCAATCTGTAAAGTTTTTATTTCATTTTGTACTTTGATGTGCTGAAGATCTTGCTGTAAATTCTGAGTCTTATAATCTTCAAAACTTCGGAAGAACGTTTAATATCCTGAAACTCAAAAACATAACAATCGTTAATGGTTAATTATTACAAATTAAATTGCATCTATCATGTGCAATGATGCAATACATGACAGACTGCAACGAGCTCAGCGACTCAACACTGGGCGACTCAGCGGACACACAACAATAGACTCAGCGGACCATTGTGCTAATCATGCCAGAACTCAGTGGACCCATACAAGGCAATAAGAGCATGCTCTTGGTCCGTCAACGAGTTAAAGTGTGGAAATATTACATACCTGCCAATTTTCAAATAATTCTAATGCTTTTCGTACGTTATCTTTATCATTGTTGACAATTTCTGAACAAAAGTATAAAAAGCATTATGTTCTTCGCTGCGGTTTAATATTTGCGACGTTTTGGATCTCCATTTTAAGAAACTGACAAGCGACCATTCAGACGGTTCAGTTTTATAAAAATAATTGATCCTGAAATTTCTTCCATGAGCAAATTTTGGTCGATTAAGAAAAGTGTTGTGTAAGCTATAATGTGTCATAACACCATACTTTTTTCTCATATATACTGTAAAGCACGTTCTATAGTACCCCTGTGTATAATGCCCCCTTCTGGAACAGCTTAGAATGTAAAGTACCCCAAGCAGTGATGTCCATTTCCTATGTCCCAAGCATTTGCTGTCCCAACTATATGTCCCAACTATGTCTTATATATGTCCCAAATGTCCTATCTGTCTCATCAATGTCCCATCAGTGTCCCATCAGTGTTCTAACTATGTCTCATAACAACACTGACCCCAGGTACTATACATCGTGAATGTCAAACCTCCATGTAAGTACCCGGGTACTATAATCTGATATTGATATACAATACCACGCGTTAATGTTAATAAATGTATATATTTTTTAATTTTTATTAATACAAAATATGATAAATATTTATCAAATGTAAAAAATAGTTTTTATTATTACTAATAA